GGGGCATCCAGTCCGTCACAGTGGCCGTGGTCAACCTGGAGTACGAGGGGTCCGTCCTGCCCTTCACGGTGAGCAGCCCGCCGCCCGGGGGGGGGTCCCCCTGACCCGTCCACGGTCTCCACGGGGGTCTCATTCCACAGAGCCTGATTCCCTCGGCTCTCTCTCCTGCAGGGGTTTGGTCACCTGGTGCCTTCCTTCGAGAACGGGGCTCTTCTGGGGATCGTCTACGACTCGGTCGCCTTCCCCCAGCACAACCGGCGGGGGGACCCCAGCACCAGGCTGACGGTGAGGCCGAATGGGTTGATTTCCCAAAGTGCGGCCTGCTTGCGATCCCTGTCCGTGTTCATATCTTCCACCCTACTGCCCTGCAAATAATTAACATCTGGCTGCAGTGCCTCAGACTCGGTACACATCTGCACTTTTTGCATGGTCTGCATTTTATTTTCTGACTTCTACATATTTATTTTCCCGGAACAGATGTATTGTTCCTGTCGTTATCCTTTATGATGCTTGTAATATCCCGTCTACCTCGTTTGCTGTAGTCTCTGCACTGTGCATGTCCCGAGAGATCAGAGCGATTAAGAATTCCAGTGTTCATGCGTACAGGGCAATAAACTCCTCTACTCTGTATCTCGAAGGCTGTCCAGGAGGGCGATCTTTAAATAGGGTGGAATATGCACTCCTAAGCACTCTTCCTCTTAATTTGCACTCATCTCCAAAATCCTATTTTCATCTCTGGTCATAGAGCATTACTTGAGATGCCGTTGTCACTAACTTGGAGGCTTCCAGATTCTTTCATCAAATCCCTTTCTGGCCTCTTTGGTGTCTCACCTAGTTAATGAAATACAGATCTGAAACAGAGAAATAAACTGAGTTTATTTATTTGACCCTTATCCAGAGCAACTTGCATTTGCATCAGTTTACACAGGAAGTATTCAGGTAAAGTACTTTCCTGAGAGGTACAACAGCTGTGTCTGGGATGTGAACTTGCAACCTACCTGTCCAGAACCCATAACGATCTTAGCTACTGGGTGATTAGCGCTCCTGCCTCTCCGCTCTTGGGTCCTGGGTTCGATTCTGGACTGTGTGGAGTCTGCATGCGTGTGTCTGTGCGCGGATGTGCGGGAGCCCTGCAGTGGACTGGCGTCTCAGCGAGGGGGTCGCCCTGCCTTGCCCCCTGGCCTTTCTGCGTTCATCTCTGGATAGATCTTAACTGCTGGCCTCCAGAGTGCAAGCTCATGTAGCGAAGGCTGGGGCGATATCATGAATAAAGAGGTGTAGCTGAACAAATAATATCCATCTCGCTCCGCACCGTTTGTCATCTTGTTTCCACCACAGTGCTAAGACGTACGCCTGCGGCCATGTAGCCAGACGATATTATCTGTATCCGCAGTGGTGCTGTGACACAAAGCGCTGATAATGGGAGAGCTTTCGGTCTTTTTTCTTTGTAGTTGCCTCGGTAAGAGAACTCCCCGTTTATCACGAGCTGCTGCAGTCTGCCGGAGTTATCGCCGCAGCCCAGCCAGGAGAAATTTGCTCTGCTGTTTGTTTGTTTGTTTGTTTTTTTCCCTTTCCACCTGCCTGCACTGTGGACATTATTATTATATTATTATCATTCAGATGGAGATTCGCGAGCAAAAAAAAAAATCGTATTTGTTTAAAGCCATTATCCGCCTCTGCAGAGAAGCGTGGAAGCTGGTGGTCTGTGCAGGCAGGGCCCGGGCTGCAGGAGGAAATTGGGTTACGGTGCTCCCAGCCGTAGGAAAATTGCTGCCGTTCTGTTCAATTCCTGCCGATGTCCCCTGCTGTCGGCTGTAGCTCCATCTCGAGCCGAGACGAGACGTGGAACAAATCGATGTCCTGTGAGAATGTCCTTAGATGAGGGTCTCTGAGAGATCCATTTATCCGAGCAGGTGGCAGAAACCCTTTCATTGAGAAAAATAGCCCCTCTTTATCTTGGAGAAGACAGGCCGTTCTAACTGTACTGGCGTGTTTTAAACTGCAGGTGTCGTCTCTAGTGTGCCCGTCTCCCCTTGTCGATTTAAGAGGCTTTTCCTTGTCTAAATCCCCCCCCTCATCCAGCGTTCAGCAAGAGCAGCTTCTGTGAAATGGGTTAAAGCACGAGCTCATTGACTCTGAGCCGGACCC